CTGAGGCCCTGCTCAGGTACCCTGGCTCCCTGCTTTTTTCCCTGAACTTTTGCTGAGCCATCAGATCACACCCAGCACCTTAGCCCCTGGTGAGGTACAGCAGTTTCTGTTTGCTGCTGCCTTGTTGGTGTGGTCTTGTCTTCCCCAGCACGGTTCCTTATAAACCACTCAGGGGTTTCGACCTACTATACTTCTAAATTAGTGGCTTGCAAACTTTATTGAAACTATCGCCAGTTAAAAAATTTGAGACTCAGTACACAGGTATAACTAGGTGTAGAACTGAAACAAACTGCCCTTATTAGGTGCACTTTATTTTTTGTCATTTCATTAAATAAAATGCTTTTGTGATCAATTAGACTGGTTTGCTACTAGAACTTTGGAACATCCTGTTCTAAATTCTTCTAGGATTGTTCAGGATGGACTCTGCAGCAGTCAGTTGAATGGGTGATTTGTTTTGCTGAGTAGGGCTTTTGATGAGCACAGCAATGAGGGTCCTTTTTACTGGGTTTCAACCAAGAGACTTCAAAATTTGGTCCCGTGCAGGAAAGAAACTTTGGAATGATAAGTCAGACTGAGATGGGACTACGCAGATACTTGCCTGGCACACAGAAAGGGCTCAGTACTTAAATGGACAACCAGCCACTTTACATATATTATCTCATTTAACCATCACAGCGGTCTTCTCAGTTGCCCCTATTTTATAGCTGAGGAGACATTTTATAGCTGAGGCTGAGAGACAAGCAAGATGACTTGCCTAACATCAGAGCCAGAACTTAGAACTCAGTCATTTTGCTTCCAAAGCCTTAGCTATTGCTACATCATGTGCTGACTCTAATGTCGACAATTTACAGCTGAGTGTTGTTTTTCCAGGGGTTCCCCCACCCCCCCCATGATCCTTAGAGTAAATAGTCCTCTTTCTTGTTTCTGAAGTCGGTTTGTCTGGCTCGGACAGTGAGCTTACTGTGATATCTCTAGGTAGCCGTAAGAGAAGTGGGTCTGGAGCAGCACCTGTAACCATTACTAACATCATTTGGCTTCGGTTTTGAAAAGGCTTTGCCTGGGATTTCAAGTATGGGTATGCCAAGTCTCTTCTATTATTTTATTTTTTAAATCATGCATTGCTCTGTGTGATTAAATTATAAGTATTTGACCTTGCATCTTCACTAATGCTGTGTACTTAATTTAGTATTACAGGTTTCTGCCATGGTTGAAAGGTTTATTTAGACTGGATAGGAATGATGAAATTATTTCCAATTCATGCCTGCAAGTAAGTGGCTTGCATGAATTCTGTGGTGAGAAACGTGGCTGCTGAACAGAGTGCCTGGCTTCTGATGCCGCTTCTCCACCCACCTGCTGGATGAGTCTACAGGCCTTCATGTTCCTGTCTGTGACATGGGGATGGTGGCACCTTTTCAGGGCTGGTGTGAAGGTTAAATTGAGTTAACTCAGTATGTGTAGAGCCCATGAAAAGTGATTGGCTCATTAATGGCAGCGGCTGCTGCTGCTGCTTGTGGTTGTTGGTAATAGTGAGAAGCTCTAACTGAAGAGACCTGATGTGCTTGGTCACGAGTCAGGGCATCTCCTGCCTTTTACTCCTACTTTTCATATCTGTGCTGCTTGCAGACTCTGCAGGGCTCCTTGATTGTTGTTTGACCCTAGAGCATTTTTTTCCTGCCTTATACAGTTGTTTCAGGTTTGAGGGGTATAAAAAAAAGGTGATGGCATACACCAACAAGGGCTCCTGCAGGGCTCCTTGATTGTTGTTTGACCCTAGAGCATTTTTTTCCTGCCTTAAACAGTTGTTTCAGGTTTGAGGGGTATAAAAAAAAGGTGATGGCATACACCAACAAGGGCTCCCTTTATCGAGCACTCCCTCTGCATCAAAGCCTGTGCTAACCGCTTTAAGAGCATCTCCTCATTTCTTAGAACAGTCCTCTGGTAGGAACTGTTTCCCACTTTGCAGATGTGGAAATGAACTCAGGGATTACAAATACGTCCTTTGCCTGAGGTTGTAGCAGGTGGTTGGTGGATCAGAATTTGCTCCCAGACCTGTCTGGTTTCAAGGGCCACACCTAACCCATATATGTATTTGCATACGGTTCACCTAATAGAGCAGGCTCAGCAGATAAGTAGCACCTTACAGGGTATTTGTTACTAATTTTTGTCAAATGTAGCAGCTTCAGAATCCTTCTCAATGTACAGCTTTTGGTAGATTTCCTATAAAATTGAAGATTTTGACATCCAGTTGCTAGATCTGAGGCTTTCTAATGGTTGGTGTCATGTTAACCCACAGCTGTGTGCCTGGCGCATTGAAGGGGCCAGATGTTTAAATCCATGAATGAGTGAGTCTGTTTTCTCAGTTTTTGGTAAGTGGAAGTAATTTTAGTGTTTTAATGGAACCATTTTAAGTCAGAGTAAAAACAGTGCTAAGACAGCTAACCTTGTACATCCAGATGTACAGAAACTGCCCTACCCACTTGCTTCTTGGTACACTCCCTTCTTATAGCCTATGTATAATATTGAGGAAAGAATTTTTCCTTTCTCCTTTTCAGAAGCCTTTATAAGCCTTTCTAGCTGAGAGAATAATTGCTTGTCAAATAATTTTTACCAGTAACACCCCTCTAGACAGCTAGTGTCAATAAAATTAATTTAACAATTAATCACCACCTCATGACAATGCTTCTCTTGTTATCTGGGATGGTTATTGGAATCTTAGGTTAAATCCATGCTTGTTTGTGTCCTGACTTCCCAACTAGATTATCTTTCCTTAAGGGACAGTCCTGAGAACCTCGGTCTGTAATATGCAATAAGAAAATACTGTTTTCTGATTTTGTGAAGAGAGAAGGGTACACACACATATTATTTCAGAAGCACCAACTTGCTTGGCTCTCCTGAACTCTTCTGGCTGGGTGTTTGGAATGTGGGTCACCAGGTGTAACTAAGCTTTTTGGTTGCAGTCCATGGAACAAACTGGTGACCCAGTGGTGTGGCAGCTGCTCTTAGGCTCTGGGGCATGGCCAAATTATTTAGGTAGCAGTTTGCAGTGATGGCTTCCTGGTAGCCATTGTAATAAACTGTTAAAATTTACAGTGCTCAGAAGACAGAAAATACGCCTCTTAACCTGAGAACAGCACAGGAGACATGAGACTTGTTCGTGGGCCCTTATATAGGGGCTCCACTGATGAAGAGATTTTTAGTAGCCTCCCACCGGCAAGGGAAGTGCAGTCCTCATGTCATAGAGCGATGGCCTCAACTGCAGAGCTATAGAACCCCTTTAGTTGTCAGGTTTTCTTTATTTATTTATATTTTAATTTTTATTGAACCAAAATTGATTATACATATTTTGGGGGTTCAACATTGAGATATGTTGATCAGATCAATATTACTAGTATATATATTGTTACAAATCATGATTAGTCTTTATGCCCCTTGTCCAGTCTCTCCCCATCCCCCTCACCCTCCTCTAATTACCCTAGACTTCTTCTCTCCTTCTGAAAGAATAATGGTTACTTTGTTGATTTGTTGCCTAGATGATCTGTCCAATGCTGAGAGGTGTGATCAAGTCCCTCAATATTATCATAGAGCAGATGCTTCTTCTGTCACTCTGACATGGGCCTTGTGGAGAGAGACATCCCCTTCTTTATCTCTGCTGGTGACTCTCCTTGTGTCAATGCACTCCAGTGGCTGGCAGACCATCTGCGTGGTAGTTGTGGCATCTAGCCTCTTTTGCGGCAGCTGTGGTTATTGTGGTGGCTGTGGTGGGCCACCCACATGGAGGTGATGTTTTTGTCATGCTCCTTGGAGCTGGTGGTGTGCCAGGTTGTGGGAAGGGGGTCTAGTCCCTGGCTCTATACCTCAGATACCCGGGCGGGCCCCGAGGCACTGGCGCAGTGTGCCTGGTTGTGGGAGGGGGGACTGGTCCCCTTCTCCATGCCTTGGGTCCCCAGGTGGGGCCCTGAGGAGCTGGTGGTGTGAGTGGTTGTGGGCGGGGGTCTAGTCCCTGGCTCCATATCTCAGGTCCCCTGGGGACCCCAAGGCACTGGTGGTGTGCCTGGGCTGGAACTAATCTTTTGTCCTTTACCTACTTCTAAAACAGGGGAACTTCCTGTGGGAACCAATGCTTGAGCTCTGTGGTTGAGCTAAATTGCTGCTTTGCTGCTTTTTCCCTATGGAAGGTTTTTTGTGCAGCTCAGGGTTTAATGGTTGACCTTTTAGGTACTTCCAGCTCTCCAGAGACCCAGTGCACCTGGGTTGTGTAGAAACTCTGATCTGGGCCTGAGTTTTTTCATCAAACTGCACCCCATACAATTATGTATTCCTGACCAGTCTTCTCTGAGTGGTCCTGTGGTGATTGGGGGGTGGATCGGCTGTCCTTGCTGTGTCCCAGTGTTCTCCTGGTGAACAGGCCCTGCACTGGTCCCTTGCAATAACTCACCAGCCTCTGAATGGCTCCCCTTTTTCAGCTGTTCTGGCTCCTTGCTCCTGTGTGGGTCCACGGGAACCCTATTAGTGGTCTTGCTGTCCTGGGGGTCACCAAGGCCCTCTTCTTCCCTGCCACCTCCAAGTAACTACCCAAAGAACACAGCTGCAGCTTCTGCAGTTCCTGCTCCATGCACTCAGCAGTTCCAGCCTTAAAGCGGCCATAGCCCGAAATGCCCCAAGCAGTTTTTTCTTTCTCTCATCATGGCTTCATGAACTCTGTAGGCCTCCCCTCCTCTTCCCCTGAGCTCCATTGGCCCCAGCTTGGCTGATGTTACATTTTTATAGTTGTAAGTTGGTTGATTTGTGGGAGAGGGTGACACTGGGGACCATCTATTCCACCATCTTGACTGGAACCCTTTAGTTGGCAGGTTTTCATTCTGAGCAGGAAAGATTTTTAGTGTGTCATCTTCAAAATTGACTTAAAGGACTTTTATTACAAAACAGCTTCTTGCTTTCAGAAGGACTTCATAGTATTAGAATTGCTCTGGCCAGAATTATCCCTGGTTTCTTTGTCCTAGGAATATGAAGACAAGGCTGGAAGACCTAGCAAGCCACCCTCTCCAAAGCAGAATGTGAGGAAGAATCTTGATTTTGAACCACTTTCCACCACTGCACTCATCCTTGAAGACAGACCAGCGTGAGTCTTAAAAAGAATCTATAGAGTGTCTGCTTTAGTGGATAAGTACAACTTGCTAATCACCTTTTCATTAGAAAAGAACTAGGGTCAGAAGAGGGAAGAAGAGTAGGCTATTAATCACTTATTATTTTCTATATTAACATGTGTTCTATAAAGATATTAAATTACTAATCTGGAAAACTGTTCTTTAGCACAGAAGTTTTGACCAGGATTTTCCATTTAAGTGATTTTTCTTTTTAATTTAGCATTTTAAAACACTAGGTATTATAAATGACAGACTGGTTCATAACTGCAAGAAACACTGGAAAGTGTACTCTAAAGTGGGTGTTTTGGAGGTGCCTTGGCATTGTAAAACAATTCCTGGACCATCCTACTGGGTTTTTTGGGATCTGCATTAAGTAGGCTATGGGTGATCTTTGGCAGGTCCCCACCTCTCTATGGGCCTGTGTTTTCCAGGTATGTGATAAGGAGTTCGTGTCTGGAGACCATAGTGGAGTACAAATGATTGCTTACCTATTTTTAAGTGTTGAGTTTCCATAGAACATTGTGTCTGAGTAGAAGGTCCCCTGCTTAATAAAAGAAAAATTTAAAAAAAAAGAAGGTTGTAAAACATTGGGCTAGTTAATCCTTAAGACCCTTGTCACCTCTGAAATTTTAAATTGGTGAAATCTAAAGAAGAAATGTATCTTCTACTGTTAAGTCTTGGTCCTTGAAAATTGAGGATGTGTGGAGAAGAAAACCCTGAAGTGGAGGATTGAAGAATTAGAGACCATTGGTAAAAGCCACTACACTGTGAAGACCAGTCCTTTTAATGCTCTGAAACATGAACTGGGAGGCTTGCCATATTTTTCTGCAGCAATTGACAGTTGTTCACGTGTCCCAGGGAATGTGGGCAACATTGTATGAGGGGCATGAGCCTGTTGCCTCTCGTTAATTAATGTGCCTGCAAATGTATAAGCACATTTCTGAGAGTGTGCACTTTATTTTTTAAAATAGGATTTGAAGGAGCATAGTACTTTTTAGATGCTTAGAACTGTGGTATGCATTTGTGTGTGTGTGTGTGTGTGTGTGTGTGTGTATAAAATGAAACACATAGCTAATATAAAACTTGCACACTTAAAAAAAACTGGCCAGAAAATGTATTCATACATATATGTAATATATGCTGTTAGGGCACCCTAATAAGGATAACTGTTGACAATTATTAGTTTATTGTGGTCTAATCAAAGTTTCTTTGGAGGATGGGGTGAAAAAATACCAAAAGATTAAATGTTTATCTCTGTTGCAATTATGGGTAATTATTTTCTTCTTTCTACTAATGTTTATAATTCAGTTGTTTTATAGTGAGTTTATTTTACTTTTGTAAGAAATATTTTTAGTTTATGAAAGAATGGTGTAATCTTAAAAAAAGTTAGTTTTGGTCTTTGAGCTTTACATTTTTTAGTAAATAATGTAAGGCTTTTATTTGATATTTACAATGGTGAAAAACCATTTATTTCCTCTCAAGAAATCTCCCAGCGAAACCAGCTGAAGAGGCTCAGAAGCATAGGCAGCAATATGAAGAGATGGTGGTTCAGGCCAAAAAACGAGGTAATGGATTCACATGAGTTTGGTTACATAAGGCAGCATGAGGTCCTGTGTCTTTCTGCATATTTTCTTCTTACCTTTTGAAGCCCTAGAACTTGAACTTTGCCAAATGCTTTGATATTTTCAAATTTATAATTTTCTACCAAAAATGCATGCGTCTACTATCCCTTCCTGGTAGCTTTACTCAATATAATAATACTTTGAACTTACATGAGACAAAAGAAGACTGTAGGATAAAAATACTAGAGAAAGCTCTATCCAATAATGACATGCAAATATGTGATTGGATTTGATAAAATCCCTTGCAACCCCTGTAAAACTGATTCTAGGGTATGTAAAAAGTCTGTATAATAAGCACACACAGGTACTGATATTCAACACAGTATACCACAGATATGTACAATCAGTTGTTTCACTAAAAAAATAAAAAAACTAAAACTAAGATAAAAAAGTATATATAATGAACAAAATGTGGTCTATAAACTACAATGGAATATTATTCAGCCTTACAAAGGAAGGAAATTTTGACACATGCTGTAAACATGGATGAACCTTGAGGACATTATGCTAAGTGAAATAAGCCAGTCACAAACAGACAAATACTGTGTGATTCCATTTCTATGAGGTCTCTAGAGTTGTCAAATTCATAGAGACAGAGTAGAATGGTGGGTGCCAGGGACCGAGCGGGGAGGGAGGGAATGTGAGTTAGTGTTTAATGAGGACAGAGTTTCATCTTCTTTGGGAAGATGGGAGAGTTCTGGAGATGGATGGTGGTAACAATTACACAACAGTGTGAATGTACCTAATGCCACTGAACCGAACACTTAAAAATGGTTAAAATGAGAAATTTTATGTATATTTTACCACAGCAAAAAAAGTATATAAATGTATGGTATTTCTCTGAGTTGCTATTTATCCATTCAGAGTCATGCTTAAGCAGTTACAAGTCAGCATAGAGGTTACATTGGAAAGGATGGGGCGGGGGGAGCACAGGAGAGACTTCTGGTGCTGTGGTAATGTTCCGTTTTTTTGATCGGGTGGTAGTTTCACAGGGTTGTCTGTTTTGTGTTAATTGAATTGTAATCTTATTTGTATACTTTTCTGTATGCATGTTGTACTTAAAAAAGCTTACTAAAAGATGGATAATGCCTAAGCATTCTAAAACCCATAGGGTATGAAGTGACGTTTGGTAGCTGACGTTCATTCTACTTCAGCACCATTTTCCTGGTGGTCTTGCACTGTGACTCTTTGAGAAAGATCACCTAGCTTAAAAATGGTGGCTGTCAGTTAATAGATGTTTCCTTATTTTAAATTGTGATTTCTAGAGCTGAAAGAAGCCCAGCGGAGGAGAAAGCAGCTGGAAGAAAGATGCAGAGTAGAAGAAAGCATTGGAAACGCAGTCCTCACTTGGAATAATGAGATTTTACCTAACTGGGAAACAATGTAAGACATGATGCAGTGGGCTGTGCTGAACTGTAGATCATTCCATTTTAGAACCTGTAGGTAGAAGCTGTAGTTATTGCAGCTCATAGTAAAACCTTTGATGTAACAAGTTTAAGTTGGGTAGTCTGCCTTCCCTCTGCCTTGGTTCAGCCCTTGTTGTTCCTTGCCTGGATACTGTGACATCCCTTTCTCCCTCCCCTCCAGTTCTTCTTCCATTCAGGAGTCTGAGCCATCTTTCTGAAGCCTGAGTCTGTGTCACTTCCCTGCTTCAAATTTCAGTAACTTCCTGTGACTCTGTGTATAACATTAGCTCCTTAGCAGCTCCTCACCTGACAGGCCCCTTCATGAGACGACCTGCCTTCCCTCTGCAGCCTCCCCCTCACCTCTCCTCCACTTGGGTCGCGCCTTCTCCCCAGGGAGCCACCAACAGGTGTTGCCACATCTAAGCCTCAGGGCCTTTGCATGTTCCCTTCCCTGTGCTTAGAGTGTTTTTGCCCTTACATCCTCATCTGCCTAACTCCTGTTGATTCTTTAAAGCTCAGTCTTCTTCAGGGGAGACTTTCCTGCCCCACGCTGAGTCTAGGTGCCTGTAGAAAAGTCCCCTGGGTACACTGCAGCTGTCAGCTCAAGCTTCTGTCTTCCTCTCTTAAAGTACAGAGACTGGGTCTTCCTTGATGACAACCCCTAGTGTCTAGCACAGAGTGCGCACCAGCAGAGTCTGGCAGCTGCTTTCATCTTTACATCTGAGGGACAGCTGTACATCTTGTTTTTATTCCTGCATGCTTAGAATGGGTAGGGGACAGTGTATGGGCAGCAGTCCCAAGCCCGTGCCCAGAGGCATGCAGGGAGCTTGGATGCCAGCTTGTCTTCCACTCTTGTCCCGCATGTTGGAATGCTGTGCTCAGAGAAATACACTATGTTCAGAGCCTGATTTTCTAGGCAGCATCCTTAAAAGACTAGATGCTGCTAGGAAATACCTTTTCTTAAACAGGACCCAGTAACGAGAGTAGAGGTTCCCAGAACCTTTTCCTGTCTCCCCGAGACGCAGCAGAGCCCACCCCTGGCCCTTCTTACACTGTCCTATGTTGGATGTGATTCAAATGCACACACACATACAGCAGCTGCCACTGGCTGCACACTGTGCTGTGCATGTGATGGGTGTTTTTGTACTTTATCCCACTTAATCCTTACATCGACCCCGGCGGGGACAGGCTTCATCACCCTGATTTTAGAGAGGATGATACAGGTTCAGCAAGGAGAAATGATTTGCTCCAGATTCCATAGGTAAGTGTGGAATTAGGATGCAGCCTGGTTTCTGAAGCCCCAAGGCCTGTGCCTCCCCCACATGCAGTGTTCAGAAGTACCGTGGATGTGTGTGGAACCGTGTGACCAGCGGATCTGAATGCTGTGCTGTTCAGAATGTTCTAAGTCAGCAGAATTCTCTGCCTTCAGAGTTGGGCTGCTCATGCCTGAGTGTTCCACCTGTGTGCCGTAGTGCAGTGGCTGTCTGCTGTCTCTGGGCTCACCTGACAAGGCCCCTTGGGGTCTGCCTTTCACCTCCAGCTCTGTAGCAGTGCCACCTGGCACTCCTCACCCATACCCAGCTGTTTTCAATTCCTGTAGGAAGCCAGTTTATTTCTTATTTCTGTGTTTTCTGCTCAGAAGGTCTTTCCCATTCTTCATGTGCTTAAACTGCTACCAATCATTCAGAGCTTGGCTCCAGGATGCCCTGGGCCCTCTGTTTTTGGTGCTCCCTGCTGTGCTGTCCCCTTCAGTTCCTGTTACAGTAGTTGCCCTGTGGAAGGTGATCATTGATCTGATCTCTGTAGAACCCTGGACTGTAAGCTCTGAGGGCAGGGGCTGTGGCTTATACAGCTGTACCTCCCTAGCTCCCGCTGGTTTGGGGCTAGGTACACCAGTAGACAAATATTTCTTCATGGAGAACAAGCTTATAAAACTCATGCTTCGTTTTTGTCCAGGTGGTGCTCTAAAAAAGTTCGAGATTTATGGTGGCAGGGAATCCCTCCGAGTGTGAGAGGCAAAGTCTGGAGCTTAGCCATTGGCAACGAGTTAAATATCACCCATGGTGAGTGGCTTGCATGATCCTAGGCTTGGGGAATCCACCCCCTGGGTCCTGTGGCTTCTGTCCCTTTTGCCCTATTAGGAAGAATGGCAATCATTGCCATGAAGCTGTGTCTTTTGAGAGGCCAGGTGACTGTGTCCTCTAGGGAGGGGCGGTTGAGAGGCCTGGGTTTAGTCCTAAGTGTTTTCATTTATCTGCTAGTCAGAGCAAACTCCCTGAATAGAGGGGATAACAAATACGGGTCTCAAAGCATCAGCGGGACGAGTTACATTAGGCTCACTTCTCAAAGTCCTGTAGAAGGCAGGCCTTGATTGTGACATGAAAATGGAGGGAGGGAGGTAGTTCTTTTTGTGAGGGTATTTAGTGTACTTGGGGTACCTGCTGGTTTTTTGTGGGATTTTTTTCAGGCCCTTAGAGGGGACAGCAAACTGTGCTGGGACTGAGATCCTTGGGGCTCCGGCAGTTGAATTCTGCGTCTACTCAGTTCACTTGTGCATCTCCTCCACCAGCTGGATTCACTTCCCAAAGTGTTCCAAGCACTCTGCAGGGCTCTGTGCATCTAGAGTGAAATTGGCACCATAGCTCATAGACTTAAAATTAAATGCTTCTTGAATGGTAGCTGTTACTTTTTTTTTTTTTTTCCATTTTTATTACTTGGTAGCTGTTACTTTTTATTTTTTTCTCTGTCTGCAGTCTGTCTAAGCTGCAGAAAGACAGGATTGCCTACCTGCTCTCTTTCTATTAGTGCCCTGTATCTGCTTATGGAGTTGAGGATGGCAGTTTTTACTCTGGTGACGGCCTTTGAGTTTAAAACAGATTGATTTATATCTTCTCTCTCTCATTGGGGTTTCCGTTAGTATCTTTATCTCAACAGATTAGTTTATCCCATTATCATAACCTTGTCCTAGGCAATGTCTCCACCTTGAGTAATGCCAGTTGGTTGGCGACAAGCTTTTGTACAATAGGGTCATAAGTGGGAATGTTGGGGCAGTGACCCTCTTCAGAGCTCCTTTTTTGGCTAAATCCATACCTGACAAAAATTTGTTTTCACATGTTTATGTGAGTAGACATACAGTCATGCACTGCACAACAATGTTTTGGTCAGTGGTGGGCTGCTTATACGATGGTGATCCTGTAAGACTACATACACCCTAGGTGTGTGGTAGCTACGCCATCTGGGTTTGTTTAAGTGTACTATGTGATGTTTGCACGATGTAGTCGCCTGGCGATGCATTTCTCAGATGTATCCCCATTGTTAAGCGACACATGACTATAAGATTTAACTTGTAGAGGTACCTCAGAAGTAGAGGTTTGGAGAAATTGTTGAGCATTTATTTCAGCCTGTGTTCTTGAAAATTTCTAAACCCTATCAATAATCCTGTTTACACAAATTGAATGTAATGCACAGGACTTTGTGTGTTTGTGTTTCCTTTTTGTTCTCACTGATGAGTGGATTGATTTTATTTGGATTAAAACTATCTGTGGACCATATCCTAGTAGATCAGGCTAAATGGCTAATTAATCAGTTACATGTCTTGAACAATTGTCTAAACCTTGATATTGGCTCATTTTGTTTAAATCGTGCCTGTCTTGTGTAATTAGCTACTTAATGTCAGTTGGCCCCACTAGAATTGCTGCTCAGAGAGCCCTGGCCTCCTCTGTCATGCTCCCCTGCCCAGCTCGGTTCTCTGCACAAAAGAGGCCTTCAAGAAATATTCGCTGAGTGCAATGAATGCCACTTTATCAGGTCCAACTTCATCTCCACACCAGTTTAAGAACACAGATGGTCTTGGATTCCGGTTGTTAAGTGCTAGGCCTCATATTAGGTTCTTTATTTACACATCTTATTTAATATTGGCAGTAATCCTGTTGGGGCAGGTCTTATTGACTTTATTTTCCTCCTGAGAAAGTTTAGTGTCTTGGAAATGCTATTCACTGTGCCCTGGGTCTCCCAGCTAGTGTTTGTGGAGCCAGGATTCTAATTCTAGCCCTGGCTGATTCTAAAGCCCGTTTTCTGGCTTGGTAAGCCCCATAGTTTTGCTCTTCTTGTGGTTGTACAAATGGAAACTTATTGAAAGTCAACCTAGTAGTACTGTTAAAACTTTACTCTTAAGGAAGTCAGGCTAGTACTTTGAAATTGGGGTTGAGGGTCTACGAAGAGGGTGTAGTAGCTGTTTCAGCCCCGCTCCCCCCAAATACACACCAGTAAAGCCACGAGGGAGATTTTTTAAGCTCTGACACTTTGACCTGTCTTTACCCTGAGGTTGCGAGCATCTGTGCCTTAACTGTCAAATACCTCATTTGGAAAGTGGTTCCCTAGTGGTTATGGGCCACACAGTTGTTTTTGTTCATCTCTTGCCAAAATGATGAAAGCTTAGCCTACCTATTGGAAGCTGAGAGCAAGCAGAGGTCCTGCCAGATGCTCTAGCCACCTACTCAAAACACCTCCAAAGTTGCCCTGAAAGCACTTGAGTTGATAATGATAATAGGAAATTATATTTTATAATTGTGTCCTCTTCTGCCATGGCAGGCTAGCATAGATTGTAAGTTAGACTTTACAGGGCTAGAACAAGGTCATTAATCAAGATTTTACTTGTTGGATTATAATAGTGTTACTAGAATTTGAGTTACGTTTTAGTAAAATAGTGTGCACTACTCAGAAGGCAGAAGTGCTCTGCTGTATTTTCTTTTTTTTTTTTTTTCCTTTTTGTCTTTTTTCGTGTCCGGCAACGGATCGCAACCCTCAGTGTTGCGCCCGTACCGGACCGGGACCGGCAACAGGATCGCAACCCTCGGTGTTGCTCCCACACCTCGCTCAGCCAGTGAGCGGGAACCGGTCTGTATGTGGGATCCGAACCCTCAGCGGGAGCGCTACCACGCTCCCAAGCGGTGCACTGTAGCAGTGCGCCACTGGGCCGGCCCCTCTGCTGTATTTTCCAAAGATAGTGATGGAAAAAAATAAAGTGGTACAAATTCTATAAGTAGGTGCAATTAAAATCTCACTGAGTAAGGGCTGGCCCGTGGCTCACTTGGGAGAGTGTGGTGAGGATAACACCAAGTCAAGGGTTAAGATCCCTTTACCAGTCATCTTTAAAAAAAAAAAAAAAAAAATCTCAGCGAGTGACTAGTGATTGTTGGTGACCCAGGATGTCTGGGAGCTGGGCACATCAAAGCGAGAGGAACTGGAAAAGCCTGGGATGTGGTTGGGGAGCAGGGCTCTGAGAAAGGGCTCTGTGGTCCCAGTCTTCACATTCATTCTTTAAAGAAGAATGGATCATAGACATACCCAGGAAGGTCTGTGAGTACTAGTAAAATTTGTGAGCATGAGTTCTTCTTTAACTATTACCAAACTATGAAAGAGAATATCTTTTGAGAGAATAACTTCTAAATATGGGGGTCATTTTGAGAATTTTGGGACACTTCTCTGCCAGCAGAAAGGAATCCTGATTTTTGGAAACCTCTGCCTAGTCCTGGGCATCTGCTCCTTCACCTACCCCACTTCCAGGCACCAAGACTAGGAGGCCTTTGCCACGTGGGTAGCAATTCCATCATGTCTGATTTGAAAGCAGACAGTTTTTCTGCTTGTCTCTCCCTCCTTCCATTGGTCAGATATTCATCAGTTGTATTGCCCTATATCAATCTCAGTGTGGTTTGCTCTGGATGTGGAGGTGGTGAGAGACCTCTAGAGTCTTACCCCCAAGGAGCTCACTGTCTAGTGGAGACAATAGACAAATCACAAGCAAATCAGAACAGGTTAGTTTTGTGGGTGAGTTGGGTGATAGAAGAAGTAAATACTGGGCATATTGGTATTGTGTGTATTCTTTCTTTGTATATGGCTGCTTCTTTAAACAATAAAAGTGCTTTCAGGCTAAGTTGGGGGAAATTGTAGCCTATTAAGTGCATTAAGCCTCTTATAGTTGAACGTACACATCTGAAGGAGATAGTAGTGTGTTCTCTGATGTTTTTGACGAAAAATACTAACGTGCACGCAATACTTACTCGAGGCTTTTCTTCCAGAGCTCTTTGATATCTGTCTTGCCCGAGCCAAGGAGAGATGGCGGTCCCTTAGCATAGGAGGCTCTGAAGTGGATTATGAAGGTATTGACCATTCTAAAACGAGCGTGCTGCTTTGATCAATTATGTATGTCATTCTTTGTTACATAACAAAGAAACTGTGCTTAACTGTAGTCATGGTTGATATGGATTTATAAAATGCTTCATGGGAGAAGGGGTTTTTAAAGCAAAAATTAAAGGTAAAAAGCTTTTGTAAGAATTAGAACATACGAGTTCCTGAAAGGTGTTTGTGTCCTAATGTGTTGGAGAGCTGGTCATAATCAATATTGTTTCCTTGAAAGCTATTCACATGATAGATAGTAGCCTTGTGCACAAGATTAGTTGACTATTGGCTTACAGAGGAATATCAGTTCTGCTTCCAAAGAGACAAGAACACTGCTTACTTGCTAGATTATGCTTTCAGAATTTCCCATAACACACAAGAATGATTGCTTTTGTTGATTAAGAAATATATGGTCTTTTTAAATACTGTCTATGTGGTATTGGAGTTCAAAAAATATAAAATAAGTTATTTATGAATGTTTGTTAGAAATATTACTTGCACATGAGTGTTACACTACAGTAGCTGCCACGTGTACTGTATTTATACCGGTGATGTTTAAGATCCAATAATGGTTTTTTTTGTGTGTGTGATTTTTCTGTGACTGGAATTCATTTGTGTATATTCCCCTACTTGTCCTTATTTTCTGCTGATTGTTGTTAATGAAAGGCCATATCAAATTAGCTTTTATTTAAGACAAGAAAATATCTAATGGTGATCTAGCATAGCTAGTTTCATAAGTTTTTAAGTAAGAAACTCTACACACTCTTCTGTGCTCTGAAGGTGGACTCTGAGTCAAGATGTAATTAGGTCACTGTACTTCTGAAGTACTTCTTTCCTTGTTTCATTCTTATAAAACTTCAAAGTCTCGTAATTATTCCACATTTGTGCCTGTGAGGAGTGTAATGACTCTTGATATTTTTGCAGATGCTGGTTCTTCAGCAGCAGACAGAGAAGCCAGTCTGGAGCTTATTAAACTGGACATTTCTAGAACATTTCCTAATCTCTGCATTTTCCAGCAAGTAAGTGGTGGTTATTTGTCGCTTTCAAGTATGTTTTGTCTGCAGTTCATAGACGCATATATTTGTAATGAAGTTTGAGAAGTACTTAGGTTTTTTTGAGGGGGGTGGAGAGTTGGGCAGGTCTTACTGTTAATACTAGACTTTTAAAAAATAAGTGTAACTGATCCTTTCCAACAAATATTTAAGATGACCACAATTCTGCTTTTAAAGGTGATTGTGTTCTTCTTTTGAGATGTGTGATCTCAGCCTTTGTAGGTCTGGCCCAAGGAGGACCCTGTGGGGCGGCTCTGTCTGCCAGAGTTTTCCAAGTCACTCTTCTGTTTTCAGAGTGCATGCAGCAGCCCTCATTCAGCAGGGCCACCGTGGTCTGATGGCTTTGGCTCAGATGAGCGCAGTGCAGCGAGCCTGGGGGAGAAGGGGAAATCCTTAGCAGCTTTAGTGTAGCAAGGGTGGGTGGCTGAGTGGAGGTAATGGGGATTCTGAGCAGGTGCAGCAGGAGAGTGGCAATGCTGCTGGGAACAGAAGCCAGCTGTGGGAGCTAGGACGGACAGTGAGCAGAGTGGAGCTCTCCATGGGCATTTGAGCACAGGACAGGGCTGCCAGCAACAGATTTTGGAGTCAACCTGAGTGAAGGTGTTCGAAGACTTCCTATTCTTTAAGCCAGCAGTCATTTATCTGGGGTTCTCATTTGACCCCTCCTTTATCTAACCTGTAATGGTTTTGCAGTTTTCCTTCCAGAATATCTCTGCATTCCCTTCTCCATTCTCACTGCCTTTACTTAGTTCAGATTTTGTCTTTCTGTCAGCCCCACGCTCACCCAGTGAGCTAACCGGCCATCCCTATATGGGATCCGAACCCGTGGCCTTGGTGTTATCAGCACCACACTCTCCCGAGTGAGCCACAGGCCGGCCTCCAGAATTTGTCTTTCTGGATCACTGGACAGCCTCCCCTCATCTCTCCTGGCCTCCCCCACCTCCTTCCATTCACCTCAGAGCAATCTTGGAATCTCCATTCCCAACTCCGTCATGCCCAGGTTTCTAGCATTATGCCTTGTACACAGTAGGTAACCATGAAAGGATGGTGGAATAAATTACGGCAGATTAGTTTAAGTGGTCATAAGAATGAGCAGGCCTGGATATGTAGAGGCTAGATGGGCTTGGCAAGAATGTGGTTGTGTCCAGGTACTCTGACAGCACAGGGGAGGCACTGTTCCTTCTGCCCATGGTGTGGCAGGGTGCGGTCAGGGATGGTGTCTCAGAGGAAGGAAGAGGCTCTCAGGCTGTGCTTGGACTGGGTTTGAATGACGGTCTCCCCAGAGGGTAGGAAAGGCATGACAGGCAGCAGCAGACTAGAATGGAAGCATCGGGCAGCTGACTGTTCAGGGAATTCCCAGTTCCATTTGGGAGAGAGAACCTTGCTAAAGGAATGAACAGAGGACACAGTTCAGTTCTGTATATACTGCCTATAAATGGTTATTCTGTTCTGAGCTGGGAACCAGCTGTGGCGGGGTGGGGGCATGGAAATGAGGAAGACTGCTCCCCGCTTTGGAGGAAAGAGAGTGCTAAGTGCAGAGTTGAGACATACCTGCTGTGTAGCTTAGAAAGGGCAGTCAGAGAACCAGGAGGGTCCAGGCATCAGAAGAGTGGGCAGTTGAGTGGGCAGCATTGAAGCCAGGCACTGCAAGTGCTTTGGGAGGGCAGGCCTGAGAGGAACCTTTGGCTTCCCAGATCAGGGAGTTTTTGCCATATCAGAATAACTCCACAAAGCAGGGGACACAAGAGCCTGAGTGTCGAGGGTCCTAAAATGCAGGGCATGTGTCCTGCCAGCTGGATACAGTGTCTTGGGTCTGCAGGCCCACTCTGCTTCTCGCCCCCTTTCCTGTCTGCTCCTCTTGACTCCCTGTGCCTGCAGGACTGAAGCTGTGGTTTTGCTGCCATGGACTGACTCAGGGCAGAGTGAGGACCTTAGTGGTACCTGGTGGGGCTCTTACTTTCTCACTTCCCCTGGTTTCTAAATCTAGTTGGAAACTTTCCCATTTTGGTCTTCAGAAATCTTTTCAAAAGAAGAAAGAGAGGGAATCTGCAAAGCTCCTTAAAGGTTTGGTGTCTGGTATGTAAGCCCTGTGAGTGCTGCCCTGGCTTTGTGGCAGGCAGTCGACTTGGCTGGGTAGCCTGCCTTCTAGAACCCTTCCCCTCCTGCTGGGCAGATTTCCGCTTCGCTTTTCTCCTATCCAGTTAGTTTCATTAGGCCTCAGTCCACACCAAGCTGTGTAGCCCCCTTGTTGTTCGTAAGAGCTGCTCCTGGTTCTTACCCTGGGTGGAAAAGGCTTCCTCCTCCTCCAAGGCCCTTCCCCACCCCAGACCGACAGTTCACCTACCTTCTCCTGGGCTCTGGAGGGAGCCTAGGAAATACTGCTTTATAGAAAGGAGTTTTCCCTTTGATTTTAAACACATTTGGGTTGGAATCCCAGATTGCCTTCTTACTGTCATTATAGCCTTGGGCAAATCACTTAATCTCTTTGAGCCCCAGTTTATCTGTAACGTGGGGGTGACCATACCAGCTTCACAGGTTTTTAACAGTACTTGGTACTTAACAGGTATTATATGAATGCTAATTATTATTAAATATCTTTGAACATAAAGCATAATTTGAATCTAAAAGACAACTAAATTCAACTGGAGGTGAAAAAGCCATTTCAGGTGATGCAGCCCCAGAGTGGGAGTGTGGTATTGTCAGGAGGTGTTTGCATTCCTGGTGTTTTAGTCTGGTGTATGGATCTCTCAGTCCTGGTAGAAAGTAGCTTAGTAACCTTTCTAGTTAGCACAGATTGAACGTGCTAGAAAGACAGGGAAAATTCTAGAAGGACCGGCCTGAAAAAAGGAGAGCAGATAGAACTCAGACAGCACCTGAGCAGGGTTCCCACATGGTTCTTGAAGGGTTGGCTGTGTGTAGTGTTCTCAGGGTTTCTGTGGTGAGAGGCTCAGGGATTGCCTGATCTGTCCTGAGTGCCCTATGCTAAAGCCCTACAGAAGCTGGGTACCAACTGTTCCCATACTTAGGAACCCAGAATGTTTCTTATGGAACATTTCTTAGGAAGTCAGCTGCAGAAATGCTGACTTTGAGAATCACTGGGTGTTTATCTGGGTGCAGAAAGATGTGCTCAGAAGAGGGGAGCTTTAGGGGTCTTTTTTTGGGTGGGGTTGGGGACAGAGGCAGAAAGTTTGCCTTTTCTCTTTCTCTCTAGATTTCTTTACATGTGCCTCCCTTAGTCTGTGGGTCCCAAAGTTCTAGATCTCGTAAATGGCTAATATTAAAAAAACAAAGGACAATGGGAAGGGAGAGTGTGGGGAAACTTGAAATGTCCAAAACAAGTTAAGGGTGTTTAAAATAAGGAACTGCCATCTACCATCTACCAGCGCCATCTTTGCATTGAAGAAATGACATTTAGCACCAAAGTGAGAAGGATATGATTACAATGGTAGAACATCTTTTAAGTTAAAAGCATTTAGCTTTAAGAAAAGTTTAGTAGAATACTATAGTTTTTCCTTATTTGGCCTTGGACTAGATAAAACTTTCTTACAGTACCCTGGTCCTTAGTTTGGGATTTGCTGCTACCTCAAGTTACCAACCCTCTTAGCCCTGGATGTCATCTTTTTTACCCTCTCATTGCTATTTTTTCTTCTTTAGTCTCTCTGTGATTTAGAAGTGTCTCTTCTTTTACTTAGCTTTTTTTTTTTTACATGTCAGAACGTGAGGGTCTAGACCATGGCATTCTTTTTTAAGTCGCCTGTGATCACCTGTGGAGTGACTTCCTAGTTACATAGCATGTGTAATTTTTATTCCTTGTGTTAACTCTGGGCACATGGTAGACATGATAGCAAGGGTTTGATTTGGACTGTGCCAGTACTTTTATAGTGTCTTCTGACACACTGACATCAATGTGTGAGGCATCTCTGGGCTTTCTTCTGTGCTCAGAAAAAAATTTCAACACTTAAACTTTTGGAAGCAGTTACAGGAGCAAATGGAAATCTTGGTGGGATGGGAGAGCTAAGAGAATGAAGTAAAATAGTAGCTTCTAGGACTTAAGACTTACAGCATATTTCCTAAGTTTGCTGTACAGGAAAACACAAAAGAAACCAAGAGAATGGTAGGTGGGGGAAGGCAGGCAGAAAGGACAGGTGGGATGGGCAGGCCCGTGGCTCACCTGGGAGAGTGTGTTGCTGATAATACCAAGGCCACGGGTTCGGATCCCTATATAGGGATGGCCGGTTCGCTCACTGGCTGAGCACGGTGCTGACAACACCAAGTCAGGGGTTAAGATCCCCTTGCCGGTCATCTTTTTTTAAAAAAAAAGAAAGGACAGGTGGGATGAAGGGGACAGCTGGGAGTCAGAGTCTGAGTGGCAGTGAGCAGTCACCTGCTTTGAAAAACTTCTGGGTACTTGGCTCACCTGTCGAACTTTGAAGGGGACACAATTATACAGCAGGAGCCCAATTAAGGGTGTTTTTCTGGGGTGGTGCTCATACCTGACCAAGCACCTTTTTTCAAAGCAGCTTATAGATTGAGCTGCAGACTTACTTGTTAACTGTGAACTGATAGTTAATTTATTAAATTACATAATGCATAGAGAGCTGCTAGCATAATGCTTGGCAAGTAGTTCCTCTTTAAATAGGAGGTGTGACTGGTGGTAGTAGCAGTAGTGTCAAATGTTATTCTGAGCACTAACAACACTTATGCATGTACTGTTTTTGGTATGTTGATTCTTTTAGGGCGGTCCATATCATGACATGTTGCACAGTGTTTTGGGCGCTTACACTTGTTACAGACCGGATGTGGGATATGTAAGTGAAGTTTTTTAGTATTTTATAATGTTATCATCTAAAAAGAAAGTCAGATATTGTTTAGCACATCTTATCTGCAAATGTCAAGTCAAAAGCTTCTTTTTTTTGTTGAGGAGTATGAAAGGTCTCATGGTAAATAAGGTGACTCAGTTTCCTCATAAAGAAATTAAGCTGACGTGGCTGCTCTGTGGCATTAATCACATTTTAATTGGGTGTAATTTTCATTTTTTGCATGTGATTTTTTTCCAACAAATCAAAAAAGCTTTAACCATTTTAAAAAATGTGCTGCTGACATTTGTGCAGCTTGGCAACGTGTGTGTGATAGAGCATGGTTTTACATTAAACACATTCAGTTAGACATACATGCCTGCAGCACCGGGACACTACGAACTGGAGGGCAGTATTTCAATGCAAAATGCCTAAGGGGGCCAGTGTATGGTTTTCCACTTGGGGTGGGGGCTGGGGAGAGCAGCTTATATGGCTGCTGTGGCGGAGTGGCGGTTCTGAGTAGGGACAGGTCATAATCGAAGGGCTGGCAGTTCATCTTTGGGTGGATGGTGGTAGGTGGGTGGCTGTGTGGACCTTCTAGTATGAGGATGTTTTGGTTCCTCTTAATGAAATGAAAGATCTGCTCTGACTTTGGTGGCCACCTTTAGTTTAATGCACCTTTCTCTCCTTCTCCAGGTTCAGGGCATGTCCTTTATAGCAGCAGTGTTGATCTTGAACTTAGATACTGCAGATGCCTTTATTGCTTTTTCTAATCTCTTGAATAAACCCTGTCAAATGGCGTTTTTCCGAGTGGACCACAGCCTTGTGAGTATTCTCCCTGGGTACTGTGTCTTTACACATCAGGAGTTGCCTAATCACCCTGTTTTTTCAGCAGAAAAAAAGGATACATTTTCCTTCCACGAAGAGATGTTTAGAATAAGTAGTACTGTGAGGTGGAAGATTCTTTGGGCATTGTACTGAACTTAAGTTTAAAAACATGGGATTAATAGCCGTATGTATGAATTTAATCCAGTCTTTCTGAAAGACAATATTTCTGAAAGTGTGTTCTTTAAATGAGGGAAGAGGGGTGGCTTCTGTGCTGACCTGCACACTTTGTGTCAAAGGAAGAGCTCAACAGCAGTATCCACATTTGGGTCTACCAAGCAGGACATCTCATAATTGAACGTTGTTGCTGCTCATTGTCACGTTGGGGCTCTGCTTCATGAAGTGAGCTCCTACATGGGAGAAAGGGGACATGTTTAAGACCATGCTTCTTAATGATAAAAAAAGGCAGCAGTTTGTTTAGTGTGCTGCCGTAGATGGGTCTTTACCACACCGACTAATGGAAGGTGTTGGCAGTAGTTGCCCTGGGGAGGCCCCTCCACACTGCAGGAGATGAGTCCTCTGCAAGGTACAGATGAGGAAAGGAGGCTCAGAAGGGGAGCAGCTTGGTCAAGGCGGGCATCTGGTAAGTGGAGGAGCCGTGATTTGAATCCATTCCAGTTCCCAAGCTGTTGTTCTTTCTGTAGCCTAGAAGAAAAGTCACCAAGTTAATGAAACCATCAGCTTTTAAATTATTGTCTTGATTTGCTGATAATTATCACTGGTACTTCAAGACCAAAGCATCTAGGGAGTATAATTCCTTAATATTTTAAGGACTACCGAGTATTTCTTGCTCAGGTACTATGTACATTAAAATAAAAAAAAAGCATTCAGAAAGTACTGCCAAACTGTTGGCCCTTAGGGGAGTATAAATAGGCAGAGTCCTTCTGGAAGACAATTTGTTATTAAGTATCAACAGCCATAAATTGAGAAGTGTTTCTGCTTCTCAATTCTGAGAAAGTTGTAAATGTGGACAAAACATTGTACACAAAGATAGTCATTACACAATTATTTATATGAACATGAGAAAATCTAAAATGGGGCTGAGGGGAATGCAGAATGGTAAATTAAAATCTGGTAATATATCCAGTGTTATAGCAATGTTTGCAAAGAACTGTACTGTGAGAAAGTGTTTAAGATAAAATGCTCATTTTTTCAAAAGTGTGTAAAATAGGTCATACACTGTAAATGGTTACCATATTTAACAATAAAGGGAAATATATCACACAGTTGATGTTGATGGATAATTTTTGGATAATTGTTTTCTGTCAATTTTTCTTTTCTAAGTTTTCTACAGTGAGCATTTACAGGTATTACTTTCATAATCAGGTAAAAACTTATCTTTCCAAGAAAAATAATAGTCAGAAATTAAAAAAATCTGTAGGAGAGAATCTTACCCTTGAAATAACTCATTAATACTAATATATACTGGCTTTACATTGTTTGTGATATTAATTTTTGGAAATAATTCCTGGATATAAATTTAATTTTATCTTTTTATCTATTTTAAAATTATTCCCATCTAAATTTCTGCTAATTTTAAAGATAAGTCCCCAGCTTTCTCTTTTGAAATGTATAATAAAGGCTGTACTTAGGAATTTTAGCTTATCTTTTAAAGGCAAAATTGTAGAATTGTAGTATCGAGTGGGACTTTCATTTACAGCAGGGTTTCTGAACAGCAGCACTGTTCATATTTGGGCTAGATAACTATTGTGGGGGCTGTCTTGGACCTTGGAGGAAATTTAGCAGCATCCCTGCCCTTTACACACAATGCCAGTAGCACCTCCCCTCCAGCTGTGACAAACAAAACTATGTCTAGACATCACCACATGTCCCCTGGGAGGCAGAATCACTGTTGGGAGCCACTGTGTACAGTACAACCCTGTCATTAAGATGAACAAGCAAAATCAGAGTTGGGGTCCATCCCATGCGTCCAGCCAGTAAGCGGTGGGACGGACAGCACTGGGCCACCTCCGATGTGTGGTGCTCCCAGTCTGATTGGCGTTCTTTCTCTGTTAGCACTGGTCCTTTGCTTTGTGCATTTTGTTTTCTACAAAACCTGTAAGAAGAAAAAGCAAGTTCAAGTAAAATACGGTCTGTGACTACTTCATTTTCCTTTAGTGTTTTCTCCCTAGAACTCCATTCAGAGTTCTGCATTTTTTGCCCTGGCCTGAGGACATGTTAGTAGTATATTTTCTCTGGAAGTGCTAGGGTTGGGAGTGAGACATGCTTGCTTTTTTATATAATTTTAGACGTAAATTCATTCCTGGTTCTTAGAAAAAAATGAGCCTAAAAAGGCTCAACGTTTGCAGTAGGACAGGCATGGATTCAAGTCCTGGCTTCACCACATACTAACACTGCACCCTTATTTGGCAAGCTGCATAACTGGTCTGGGTTTCAGTTCTCTCTCTCTGTAAATTGAGGAAATAATAAGACATAGCTAGTGATGTGATTTTGAAGATCAGAGAGAGTACTTATTTATAATTTGCCTGTTAGCAGTTATATAAGATAATTGTTAGATTCTAAAGGTATGAATATATTGACTTTTTTTGTGTGTGGGTTGGAAACTTGTGCTGATAATTAGTTTATTAGTGTATTTCACATTATCTCCCTAGATGTTGACTTATTTTGCTGCGTTTGAGGTATTCTTTGAAGAAAGTTTGCCGAAATTATTTGCTCATTTCAAGAAAAACAACTTAACTCCAGACATCTACCTAATTGATTGGTAAGGCTGAATTTTCCATGTGTTTTCAGAGCATCTTTTCATTCCCTGCCCCTGTTTCTACCATCCTTACTGCCAGCTCCTTCCAGGGCTCAGCTGAATCCCCATGTCCTGTTCTCCAGCTGTCTCAGCTGCCGTGCCCTTTAGGTGCCCTTTGTTTTCCAGGCTCCTATGCTGCTAATCATTGACTTAGCACCATGAGCTCGTGTTTATTACTATCTGTGATTCTCCAACGTTACTTCTGAATTCCTTCAAGAGAAGGAGTGGTGTCTTGGACCTATTTGTTTTCCAAGTGCTATCTGTACATTAATTGTATGAAATGCCCCTAAGCAGCAGGTCTGTGCCAGGTTCTCTGCTAGGTGCTAAACGTGGATGGTGAACAAGACCCAGAGCTTGCCTGTCCTGTCTCCGGAACAGATGTGGCGACAGACACTGTCCAGCATGCAGACAGTGCTGTTTTAGAAGGAAGGAAGGGAGCCAGAGGCCCTGGACCCAGCCTTAGGGCTCAGAGTACACAGAGGTGACACAGGCATTCCAGCCAGGCATGAAGGTGAGAAGCATGATGTAGTGTGCTGGAATTAGCATGAGCTATAGCAGCTAGTCTATAGATTCTAAAGGTATAAATATATTGACTTTTTTTTTTGTAGGTTGGAAACTTGTGCTGATAATTAGGTGTTAAGGCCTAAAGAAAAGGGCAGAGAACGGCAGGTGAGGATGTTTGGAGGCCAGGTCATGGTGGTTCTTAGATGCCACCCTAAGGAGCTTGGGCAGTATTGCAGGGCCTTACGGCACAGGTGAAAGCTTTTACGAGGGGTGAGGGTGGGGTATATCCAGAAATGAGTTTTAAGTTACTTGGGAGGCAGGAGAGCCTGGGAGCAGAGAGGCAAATTAGGGAAGAAGCAGAAGTGGGTGGAGAGTAGGGAGCAGAGAGACTCGCAGGTCCCAGGGGAAGTTTTGTAGATGTACCAGAGAGTCATGGTCTCCTCTTGAGAGTCCAGCTGGTGAGGGGGTTTGCTGGTGCCACCATTTGAGATCAGAGACAGAGGAGCGAATTGGGCAAGGGGAGTTAATGGATGTGACTGGATGCAATGATTTTGAGGTGCCTGTGGGACAATTAACTAGAGGCATCCTGGAACACACAGATAAGAGAGTCCAGAAACTTCTGTGCTGGAGCAGTATACCAGGCAAGTCTTTGTACTGAGATGGGTATGCTCACTGAGAACAGGGTGTGGCTGTCACCCCAGAGAGCACGTGTTTGAGGGTCAGGTGAGAGGGCTGGTAGACTGCGTGACACCAGGAGCAGTCTCTCAGAACACGTGGTGGGAAGAGTGTGGCCCAAACCCCAGCTTCTCCCGTTATTGCCTTGTGGCCTTGGCAAGGGCCCTACTCCCTGAGCCCTGGTTTCCTCTCTGGAGACCACGGTGATTAACCTTGCATGGTGTGGTAGGGTGACCACCCAGCACCATCCCTTACTTGCAGAAGGAAAGAAGATGTTATTTTACCAGAAAGGTCCATTTAGGCTTCAACGCTAACTCATAGTAAATCTAGAACTACTGCAAACATATACCTGGCTGGGTGTTTTTTTTTTTTGGGGGGGGGGGGTTGGTTCACTTTTTTCAAGTAAGAAAAGGGTTTCAATAAGGTAAAAAACCATGTTTCATTCAAAAGGAGGCTGAATCTCTTAGATAAAGTAGACTTGCCTGGATCCTTGGGAATGAACCTTTGGGATTCTTGGCACTTGTTGCTTCTATTCCTGAGCCCCGTGACTGTTCTGGCTGCACTGACTTTTTGCCATGAACAATGAGGGCTTGGAGGTTGAAGCTTACAGCTGAAGCCATAGGAGCTGATGTCACTGTGGAGCAGTAAACACCAGACTGTGGGTTGGCCATTGGCAGGAGTGCTGGGCTGCCCTGTCTGGCTGTGCTAGGTGCAAATGTTTAGGGCCCACTGTAAAGGGCACCTTTCTTCAAAAAATGATGGTTTCTTCACACCTGTGAATATTCACCCACTGCATAGACTGCCCCATACTGTTCATCTGACTATGAACCCTTAGATCCCAGGCCCTGGAGCCTGTGACACCAGTGGAGAGTGTTAGGAGAGGGGAGGATCTGGACAGGGCCTGAGCCTTCAGCTTCTACCTTATTTATTTTAAAGCTTCCAAGTTAAATTCTTAGGATTATAGGCTAAAAGTCAATAGTGTCTTTCAGACCTTTTCACCTGGACTTGCAAAAGGAAATAGGTTTTATGTTGTGACCCAGTGTGGGGTTGTGATACGTTGCATGAATATGCCAGGAACAAGGGTTTGAAGAAACAGTACCTAACCTTGACTGTGTGAAGCATTCTGAAATTTTCTGTTCTATTTATTCCAAAAAATGCTGGTGATAATCTGCCCTCGTTTACTTCCCTGTAGACTTTCATAGCTCAGGCTCCAAAGATCACATCAACTTGTTGAGGCCCCCAGGAGTTAAAACATGGGGCAGACTTGTTTATAAAGAAAAGCAAGCCAGAATACAAGGTGTCTAAATGAAAAGGAAGCTCCAAGGATTTTCGCTGCTGAGACCTGTCTGCTGTGACGTGGTTGGTACAGGAGGCCCTGGGAAGGTTGCCCGCTGTGCTTTGATGAGGCCTCTGCTGATGTTGGCCTATTCTTGATGAAAAAAATTTTTTTTTCCTTTTTGTCTTTTTTCGTGACTGGCAACGGATCGCAACCCTCAGTGTCGCGCCCGTACCGGACCGGGACCGGCAACGGGATCGCAACCCTCGGTGTTGCGCCCGCACCTCGCTCAGCCAGTGAGCGCCGGTCTGTATGTGGGATCCGAACCCTCAGCGGGAGCGCCGCCGCGCTCCCATGCAGCGCACTGTAGCAGTGTGCCACCAGGCCGGCCCTTGACGAAATGTTAACTGCTTTCTAGAATAAGACCAAGTAGGACGTAGTCTAGAGCTGCGGTTCCAGCGCAGGCCTAGGCTCATAGTAAATATTAGTAAATATTTAAGTTGAACTAAACACTGGAAAACCATGTATTCATTATTTCTTCTCTCAGTCGATGCTTATAGGTGGTCAGTGATGATTCAGACTCCTTGTTGGATGCCAACAGTTAGGTAAAAGCTCAGATCAGGAACAGGGTGGGCAGCGGGGAGGAAGCAGAGGGAAACAGCAAACTTGGGCCTACCGTAGAAGCACTGTGTGAGAAACGATCACTGCTTTCTTCCGTCCTCACAGTGTCCAGAAGCAGGTATACCTATTTTAAGTGCACAGGAAGTCACACAGCCACATGCACACCCCTAACTGCTGGCCCTGCCTCCTCCCCGCATGTGCTGTGGCCCTGTGCTGTGTGTGTGGTGTGTGAACTGCGATGGATTCCAGGGCGCCAGTAGCTAACCGCCTGAGCAGACAGTCTTTCTCCTGTTCCACGTGTGGCATGGCCAGCTGAGTGTCCTGGCTGAGCTGTGCAGGTGCTCAAATAATATGGCTGCAGTTCGGTGAGGAAAGTCTCCTTTCCTGCCCTGCTGTGTGCCCACCAGGGCCTGCTTCCCTTCATTTCAGAACAGCCACACTGAGGGTGTCTTCTCTTTCCTGCTGCTCCTGCAGCCAAATCCCTGGTGTCTGACCCTGTGCTTGGCCTTGGTTCCTAGGTTAAGGAATGTTCCTGAGGGTTGCCTTTCTGGTTAAAAATACACAGATTCCCCGCTTGGGAGCACGGTGGCGCTCCCGCCCAGGGTTCGGATCCCACATACAGACCGGTTCCCGCTCACTGGCTGAGCGAGGGGCGGGCGCAGCACCGAGGGTTGCGATCCCGTTGCTGGTCCCGGTCCGGTACGGGCGCGACACTGAGGGTTGCGATCCGTTGCCGGACATGAAAAAAGACCAAAAAAAAAAAAAAAAATACACAGATTCCCCGCTTGGGAGCACGGGGGCGCTCCCGCCCAGGGGTCGGATCCCACATACAGACCGGTTCCCGCTCACTGGCTGAGCGAGGGGCGGGCGCAGCACCGAGGGTTGCGATCCCGTTGCTGGTCCCGGTCCGGTACGGGCGCGACACTGAGGGTTGCGATCCGTTGCCGGACATGAAAAAAGACCAAAAAAAAAAAAAAAAAAATACACAGATTCCAGCTGAGGCCCGTCGATGCTTGCCACTCCTCTCCGTGTACACTGTGTGTTGTCTGCCCAGTGGCTCACAGATTCACAATTGAGGATTCACTTTACTTGCCCATACTGCCTTCCTGGCATGGGATCTTGTTTAGTTGTGATTGGCCACTCTTTCTGATGCAGACAGGATCAGAACAAGTGCTCATCAACTACCTTCTTCCTACAGACTTTTGAGTGTTCCGACTGTCAAGAATCCACATTTTGTGGGAGGACTGACAGGTCATTCAACTGCTCAAAATATTTTCCCTTGCTGTCCAATGGCAGAATTATTTGGAGGCGTGAGTGGGTTTTGTAATAAATAATCTTGAATCAGTAAAAGAATGAAGCAATATGTTACATATCGTGATTAGAATTTCTTGAAATGACATTTAATGATACTTGGAGATCCTGTCATTGCATTGAATTTCTACCTTAAAGGAAAGGTTTAAGGTGAAATGACTGTTGGGAGATTTCCATTTCCATTGCATCTTGCATGCAGTTCATTTATAACTCTTAGCTCGGGGTTACAGGTCTGCCCAAGAACTCCTCAGGAGCCAGGGATTATCTTGCCAACTCCCGAGCACCTGGAAGCATGTGGAGCATATGCTGAGGCCTTCATCAATGTGGGGTCCTGCCCGCACAAAAGGCCGCTCGACCTGTGCATTGGCAGCGTGCTCTGGCCTGATAAAAGATGGAGCCTGTGTTCCAATGCAGGGTTCACATTATTGTCCTGGTGTCTACTGGCCCCTGCTCAGTGCTGGGACATAAAAGACTAGAATGCCACTGGGCTCAGATGAGAAGACACTCTGAGGGGACAGAGGTGGATATAGGTATCTGATTGCTTTCAGGATCAAGGTTGGGTGGTTTCTGGGCTTGA